GCCATTTTGGTCTCACTTTTAGGACCAGAAGTAAGAGCATTTTATCAGCCTTCTTAACGTAGGAAATCACTTCTATCTCGGCCAGTATTTAGGAGAGCTCCAGAGGTGCAACCAGGGGATAGTGTTCAGGCAGAAACATGCACATATTCCGTAGGAGAAAAGATGCTGATTGATGATTAAGATAATGGTAAAAATGACGGGCCTTGTGCGGGATGAAGGTAAAGAGGTATGTTTCAGCCCATTCTCATTCCCAGGTTGTCAAATACCCACGCTTTGTCACGCATGACACCATCTCATACAGATGCACAGGATAGTCTGTATGAGACGCACCAGGCCTCAAAACCCAACCATGTGTGGGACAGTTAGAGGGGTGGAGTGGATGTTTGCATCTCAAACAGACACAAGCTATTTGGCATTGTATTTTTACGTATTGACCTAGCTAACTTAGTTACCCATATTTACCTTTACCAATATGGCTTACAAATAAAAAAAATGGTGCTATTTTCTGCATTTCGAATTTAGGACCACATCAGTCAGAAGACTACAACATGTCATCATAATTTCTAGGCTCATAACATGCATGTAGCTTTCTCCTAGTCATAGTTTTTCTTACTGAAAGCTAGGCTTCACTAAAAAGTATTTTTAGTTTTAAGTTAACTTTCAGCATGATTTGTGAAAGAGTGATTCTGAGCAGCTTGATAAATATGGGCCCATCTCTGAACAAATAGATCTTTTAGGTTCCTCAAACAGTTGAAGATGCAGCGGAAAAGATTCAGCCGGGGCAGTGGTACAATTTAGTGTGCTTAACATAGGAGAACAAATACAATATGTATGGAGATTCATGCCTGGATTGGCTTCGATTTTGTATGTAGATGTTGCCATTGTTCAAGAAAACTACCTGAGTAAAGAACTATTGAATGAGATCATTATTCTGTTGTGTCTCTATTGAAATATAGACTGCACACCGTGTCCCTGGACTGTATTCATACACCTCAAGCAACATTATTTGTCATGTACTAGAAACATTTAATCACCGATCTTTTCTTTACTCAGCTTGAATGGAGATGATTATGGTCAGTTTGCAAGTGCTAATCAGTTGTAGTTTGAGAGCACCGCCTTCTTGAAAAGCACTTTTTAATTTTTGATCATGCTTCATAATGAATCCTAGACAGCATGGCTGAGTTTCTGTGCTGTTAAATATTTCCTTTAATCTCTTTTCTGTATAAATGATTTTACCCTGTGGGCTTTACAGTTTATTGTGCAATATAATAAATCTTTGTGTGAAAATATTTGGTTATAACTGACAACAGGCATCTACTATAGACACTTGACTTAATAACTCGCCTTCATGTTCACCTTTGTTTTCACATCAAAAAAAGAAAATTTACAAAACGAAACCAAACTTGATATAGTAGTTAAAGCTATCCAGCTATAACAGTAATGGATACTAAATTAGTATTAATCGGATACAATCTAATAATGTTGTGTAAGATAATGTATCAGTCACAGGGGCCCTTTATCTGCAGAAGGAGTACTTTTACTTTTGATAGTTTAGTGACATTTTGCTGATAATGGGGATAATGGGATTTAGTGCCATCTTGTGGTGTAGTTTCAGATTACAACCCCCTCGCCTAACCCTCCCATTCCAAGCATGTTGGAGAAACCACAGTGGTCACGAAACTCGCAAAAATGCATAAGACTTATACACTTTAGACTGGCTTTAGACATATCTAAAGCCTTTAAAGCATTCAGACATTATCTAAAGCCAGTGTTTGATTTGTCCATTCTGGGCTACCGTAGAAACATGGCGGTTCAACATGGCGGTCTCTGTTGATAAAGACGGCTCATTCTAGGGTAACACAAAACACAACATATTCAGATTATTATACAATAATGGGAACAAAGTTATGGATATTATATTCCATTTCTGCCCAAAATAATACACCACTGGACATTATTAAAGGACCAGTGTGATAGGATTTAGGTGGCGTCTAGCGGTATAGCTGCAGATTGCAACTAAGTGAACACCGCTCGCATCTGTATTTGACATGGCCTGGGTTTGAGAACAGACTGTGAAGTGTGTAGGAGAAACACACTACAAATCTCATGAAAAACGCAAAACCCTAACCCTAACCCTACTACAGCCTGTGTTTAGTTTTGTCCCTATTTTGAGCTATGTTATGTGCTAAATGTGTTTCTGGTTGGAAGTTGAGACTGTGGGAGGTCTTTTTCATTAACGGTCTCACAGGAGATCTCTGTGGGTATATCTCTACCTTCAAATGTGTGGTTCTGTGCATATCCGCACCGGTGTGGTGGATACAAATGGGTGTCTGATTATATCTGTACGTGCATGGATGTCTGTATGTAAGTGAGTTTGTATAGGAGCGCATTTTGCATGCATATGTAACAATTATGAGAACTAAGGTGTGTGCAGTGACCTGTAAACTGTGTCACTCGTTAACATACTGGCCTTTCACAATAAATTTCATATTTAATGTGAGTACTCCCTGGTAACACAGCTACCACCATTTATTTTCATCCTACACTCTACATGTGTCCCTAATTTGCTTTATATCCCCACTTCCTGGAGCAAACAATCATTCACAGTATGAAAATTATGGTGTTGCTACTAACAGAATGAATTGAATTCAATCAAGTGCAAGGTGGAAAATCATTCAAACCAGTGAAACTGCATTTACACATTAATTTGATGTGAGCAAATCGTTAATTGTCCACAGCTCAACGCCCTGCTTATGATGCATTCTATATTTCCACATTTAATCAAACCATCAGATGAATAAAGTGAAGTAAAAGATGCAATAATTTCCTCAGAAAAGTTAAAAGTATGAAATGTCATTAAATTGTATCTGACTTGATTTGCCTAATCAGAAAGACAAACGGAGACTGCAGCAATAAAAACTGCCACAGTCCACAGAAGAAATACTGAGATTAGTTGCATATTTACAGCACTATGTAAGAAATGTGACACGCTTACAGAAAGTTACATGTTTTTTAAAAAAAATTAGTGAAAATTGTATTGTTGAAAAAACAACAAGGTGTCAACACACCTTTGCAAGTCTTATGATACCAAACCATCAGCGACCTCAGCATCTACCTACCATCGGGGGATTTCAAGGTTCAAAGTAGTTGCTTGCATCAAGAATGGCCGCTAACAAATATACATCACTTACCTCATGAACACCCCTTACTTAAAACAGTGCTCATTCTCCTCTGTAGTGACACAAGCTAGAGATATAATGAATCACTTTGTAACACAGAGAGGTTTTTAAAGCATTGAAAATGGATGTCCGCAACGTTATATGGTACGACAGTGTTTACAAGCATACGAGTTCTGCATGTCACCACCCTAAAAAAACTTCAGATTGGTTCTGCAATGCAGTGTTTTTTCTCTACTGTATACTAGTTTAAGCAATAAAAGCTTAGATAAAGTCCTTAGTCTCTATTGAGCAAAGTGTTCAGATATCTTCAGATATTCATATATGTTGAAGCGAGCGGTCAAGGGACCACTTTGAAAATCAACCATGCCAGTCTTTCGAAGATATTTTGCCTAAATTTGAAGCGTTTTTTTTAGCTCCCTAGATGGTTTAGTATCATATGATACCAGTATCTTCACTTCATTTTAGAAAATGAGCCCCATTCAGCCTCTGAAAGACAGTGCGGAGTGGAAGAGGTTAGGATGATGGAGTGGCACTTGGGGTGGCCAATCAGATTTCAGAGATGGCCAGTGCAACCCCAGGCACCCACTCTGGACACCTCTGTCTTTAAGTAAGAATTTAGCAAGTCACTTTAGCTTTTTTTTTGGTTAATAGTTTTGTACTCTGAGCCTTTGCTATAAAGCTAAAATAAACATTATAGTGGCTCAAGTGCAACTTACAATTTTCTAAAGAGATGAAACAACACAGGTATATTAATATTTTGAGGCTAGACAAGGGAAACAGGTTTAGGGAATGCAGCATGTCAAGTCAAGTCAAATTAAATTTCCAAGTTTACATACACTGAGTGGGCTTTATAGGCCCATATCGGCACCAGTTCCCAACCCAGCCCACACTCTCTAAAAAGATGAGAAAAAAAGATGAGAAAAAAAGTCCCCATTAACCATTTATCTAGATGAAACTCACAAAATAAGTATTGATTGGTGATTGGTATTGTTGATGATCTTGGTGCCAGTCCCTGGAAAATTTAATAATGACTGTTAATTGCTTCCCTGGTTGTTTTTTACATGAATTGAATCATCTTTATTGCCTGATTCAAATGTTTAGTTTGGAGCTTTTGTTTCATCACTGACAAAAAAAAACTCAAAATATCGAACACTGCTTATCCCTGGGTGTTACTTTGATGTATGATTGACACATCATTAGTATAATTAGATCATTAGATTTGACAGACTGGCGACCTGCTGGCCTATGTGTAGTGTTCAATAGGTGTATTCCAGGAGAAAGCTGTGGATTTGACAGGATTTTTTACCATACATATTCAAACTAATTGTTCCAAGAGAGGAAGAAAAGGGATATTTGTATTCAGTGAGCATTTGAGTTGGGACTAAATACAAAACCATGTGGGCTGGTAAACAGGAGTAAGTGTAGGATGGTGGAGCTCAACACCAGCTGAAACGTTGTTTGTTTTGTGTGTAGCATAAAGGAACTGCAGCTTGCATTTCATTGTGTTGTAGAATGATAAATAAATTAACCTTGAACCTTAATTGAATGTGTTAGCATGTTAGTGGTAGTTGCTAATTAGTACTTAACACATAGTACAGGTGATGCTCATGGGAATGCTATTAGTTTTTCAGGTATTTGATCATAAACCAAGTATTGTCAGTTACATTTGTAACTTTTTTAGTTATGATTTTGCAAGGTGACTTTCACCCTCTGAACAGCAGCGATAAGAATTCAATTTAACTTTATGAGCAAAGCTTTATCAGTGACACAGACAAATTCCCTTGTCAGCTCACTGTATACAGCCCTACAGCTCGTTCTTACCTGGGATATTGTGGATGGTGATGGCAAGGATAAGGAGAAGAATTCGTCGCCAGCTGCTTCCTGTCCGTCCAACCTCTTCCTGTTGTTTACTTCCTGTTTCCTGTCCATCTGAGCTGCCTGAATGAGGTCCTCTCCTCCTCTGGTACACGTCTCCATTCTCTATTTTATCTGCACGACAGAGGCACATAATGTTGAAAACAAAATTATGCAAAACATTCAGAGATAAACAAGTGTCCCACATCATTTTGTAAACTTAACTCTGACAGTTACACTTTCTGATCCTTAGAGGGCGCTCTGATATTCTGTCATTGCACTATAGAGGCTAGTCAGAGCTCCAAAGGCTGAAAGACTATGAGTGCTGAAACTTTTTATGTTAAAACACTTCATTTGAGTTTTATATTTTCCCTTTGCCATTTTTGAAGAGAGGGGATTACACGTAGCAAAGGATTCCAACCCTGGGCCACTGCAGCAAGGACAGCCTCGGGACATGGGGCACCAGCTCTACCAGGTGAGCTAACCAGGCACCCTGTTTAAGAAATACAACAATTTTTGTAACTTTCCAAAACAGACATGACTTCAATTCACCAATCACACCCGCATCATGGAGCGACTGGCACAGGTGTGCAGAGGTGTGAAAGTATGCAGGGTTACTTATCTCCCAGGCTCTCTTTTTATGTTCTTCACACAACTGCATCCATCACTTTGTGTGTGTACAACCTAGTTCAACATTTTGAATGCCTTTGAAAATAGACTGTCTGAAAGAATGCATCATTATCCCCATTTCATTGCAACTAAATTGCACAGAGTATGTGGAGAGATCGGGGAGGCAGAGTGATGCAGCCAGGAAGAGGCTATAACAGCGGGCTTTTTGCCCTGCCTTTGAGTGTGGCCATTCAGAACAGGAACCACTTTTGCTTTTAGACGTGGTTGGGCGACACGTCACAACCTTTGTTTGAATAGCCAACATTTAAAGATTACTGTTCTTAATACCCAGTTAGTGAGAACACTAAAGCAGTTGGCTGCATATACTAAAAGTTGCCTTAAAGTTGATCTGAGATAGTGTGAGAACAACAATTAGGCTAATTAAGACTGTTTTTGACGCCTCAGTATCACCAGGCATCATAAACAAAACCCTCAGATTTGTCGGTCAAGCATCTTGTTAAGATGCACTTGCCATCCAATCCCCAGAGTTTCTGTGAAGAATTACACTCAGCAAACACAATTGCCTACAAGATATATAATCAAAGAAGAACTTAACAGACAAATAGGTTTTATTACAGATGAAATCAGATGCCTCTGTCGGCTGCCTCAAGTCTGATTAGGACGTCTGCCATCAGGATTATATTTGCAGCCTGAGGGATACAGAGCTGCGATTCTCATCTAAAATAAAAAATATCCTCTGTTTGTCCCTGTATCAATCGAATTATTAGCATGGCAATCTGTGTTAAACGTAATTAAAACAAAATGAATGGCCCAAGACAATCTAATTAACACAAACTTTCTAAAAGTTAAAATAAAAAATAAAAAAATTGTTAAAATAACACAGAAAGGGCGCCTGGTTAGATCACTTGGTAGAGCTGGAGACCATGGGCCGAGTCCTGCAGCGGCCCAGGGTCCGAATCCGACCTTGCTGCGTGTCATCCCCTCTTTCTACCCCGCTTCCCTGTCTGTCTCCAGCTGTCACTGTCAATTAAAGGCAATAAAAGGCCAAAAAAAATAAGACAGAAAAAAACGGATTACAAATAGATACAATTGGTAAATTCAGCCGGACAGGAGTAATGAGTGTCATGTTTTACATTTGTCCTCCTAAGTAGAGGTTGGAATGCTGAGTATAATACTTGATGCACTGGGAAGGGTTTGGATAACCTAGTGATCTCCCCTACCATTCTGGGAAAAATCACAGAAAAAGCTTCAAAAGTATCACTCAAACATTGGTGGACATAAACACACCAAAAAACAACCACTTTCAAGCATACTCGGGTGCATGAGGAAGGAAATGAAAAGCAACAGCAGCAAATGCCAAGAAGCAAGATTTTTTAATTGATTTGACACATCAATGTTGCAGTAGTGAGTTTTTTTTTTCCAAGCTGCAGGTCTATTGCAAATGTAAAGTCAATAATTTACAGCTAGGGTTTATCATGTAATCATAGTTATCTATTTTTCACCAACCTTTGATGGAGTCTGGAGTGTGCCAATAAATTATAATGAATTCATAAATTGATACATTTAAGCAATTATTATTTGATTCCTCAAATTTGTATTCAAACTTACAATCAACAGGCTTTTTGGGGACAGCAGAAACAAGCAGTTAACACTGACAGCAGCACTGTAGCTCCAACAGATAACAGCTGAGTTATAAAACCCCCCCAAAATAAATCTTGCTTCTCTGTGGGTTGGCAAAACTTTTTAAAATATATTATTTAATTAGATTTATTTTGTATTTTTGGGTCTTTTTTGTCAGAAGAGTGACAGGAAAGGGGGGAGAGAGAGGGAGATGACCGCAGCAAGAGGCCACAGGTCGACTCATCCATGGCTGCTGCAGCAAGGACTCTACCAGGTGAGCTTCCAGAGCGCCCCATTTTCATTCTTTTTACTTTGAGATTCTTAAAGCATAATTTTAATTAAAATTAAAATGTAATTAGTCTTAATTGCTTTTAAAAAATATACCCATTTCTTAATTGACCATAATTAAAAACTGATTAATCATCCTGGTGGCACACTACAGACTCCATGATCTTTATCATTACCTCCCTGCAACCTGTCCATCTTAATCACTATCTGCTTCCTTCTCTCTCTGCTCCCTCCCCTCTTTCCTTTTATTTGTCTCTCTCTCACATACATTTTCAAACACAAGCAATTGACCTCTGTTAATGCATTCCAAGTATCTCATTTTGCCATGTAGGCGGCTGTAAATTGGAATTATCTAGCGTGCAAAGGTCAAATGATCTGAACTATTGCTCGGGGTGCTCTGGTTACACCCTCCGTCAGGGGACATTTTCGAAGGCCAAAAAACCTGAATCCATTTCTGTCCAATTGAACTTTCCAAACCATTTAACCGTAACAAAGGGCTGTGTGTACATAGACTACAACAGCTTGGGCTACTAGTGTTTCCCATCTATTCTAACAAACCACAAACACAATCCACAAACACTGTAGAACTAATACAGACGCAATATAAAAACACTTGCAATCCAACACAAATGAGCTGCAATACATACTGCCTTTGTGACGCCTGTACCCTGACACTTTGTGTTGAGACTGGTAGAGAAGATTTAGTTCTCAGGTCATTTATATTTCTCACTTTGCGGTGTCAATCCAGTGATGCTGAATTAAGTAACAGACTAACTTCAGCCTCAGAATGACTATAGACTTCATCACCTCTCTGGAACAGTCTTATTAAAAAGTGAAGACATAACTACATGGTCATTACCCTCACAGGTAATGATTGTTTCAGGTCTGCTCTACTGGATTGATTTAGACCTTCCAGCCCCTGTTCTTTATACTGTATTATTTAGAAATCAGGGTTGGCATTAAGCATGGGTGGAAAGTCAGACATTAGCATCAATATTGTAATTTACATTTCTTGATGAATCAATGTGTAGCTAAAACGTTCCACAAGGACCCACATCAACAGGCAGATTTAGCAACTTAAATTCAAAGGGCCAGTATAGATATTTGCCCTTCAGATGATAGCCAATATGTTCCAAGATTGCTTTTAGGCCCTCCTAGGCAATTAAACTGGCTATGTTTTCAATAGAAAACATAAGGTCACATTTATCATTTTACATCAGTGACATACTTCAAATATAATAATGACATTCAAAAGTGCCATTGGATTTTTTAGAGCAGCTGCCTAATTGGGTAATTATGGTAATAATGACAAACTGCTAGTAAAGTTACATCTAAAATGTGGGGATATCAGACCTGATGACACCTAAAACTGGGCAAACACTAAGTGCCTGTTCATTAATCTTGTATGTCCTTTCTGCATCTTATGCTCACAATGTACAGATCAACTGATCAGCCAAGACATGGGAGTTCACACTGAAGCCCCCTTGCATTTTGTCCATTAACAATTTGAATAAAGTTTATTCACACAAGACAACCACCTCCTTAACAATGTTGACTTAAACTGGGAGAAACTGGCAGCAATTCTACTATTAGGGGAATTAAGTTGAAAAAACAACAACGATATGGAGCCACAGAAAGATGCAGACAATAGACAGGAGCACCTGAATGGAACAGAACCTGAATTACTGTCTGTGGCAACACCGGTGTTTACCACACTATTTCATGTCAAAGTGAAAAAGATCTATATGGTCTATATGTCTGTCTGTTCTGTAGTGAAGCTCAGTTTTATATCATAGCAGTATTGATATTACAGTTTTGACCACACGTAAAATGTTACTCCAATAATAACAGAACAAGCTCACTACAGTTTATAATTGTTCTGCAGATCTGTTCTCTGTTCTGTTCAAACTGCAAGCCACGACAGCCGACCAAAATTTTGGACATTCTAAAAAACCATCCAATCTTCCCACAACCAGATCGTTGGTCATTCAGGCGATTAATCAGGTATGGTGATCCCTATGAGACTGCAAGTCAATCGGCAACTGATCTATTAGAAATTTGGACTGATTATAAAATTAGTTTTAGCCCATTTGGTCCAAGCTCTTCTAAAAAGGTTGGACAAAACATAACATGACCTTTTTCAGGATATATTCTTATTCTTTCTTTCAAGGCACATTTTATGTGAAATGTAACCACCAAGGTCCAGATCAAAAAGCAATAAAAAGGCAAAAGCCGTAACCCTGATGAAAACTGATGAGCAGATGGAAGAACACCAAGGACAGAGAGGGATGATAAGCATCCCAGAAGGTTATTCACTAGCTGAACATGTAAAGAAAATGTGGGGCTGAATATAAGCAGCCGGGTAAAACTGAAAGAGAATCTTTTCAATCTTCATTAACTATTCAAGACTGTTCTTCACAAGGACACCAATATTGGCTTGGCATTCCCTGACTTGAGATTCTGCCAGTGAAAGTAAAAAGCTGAGCTCTACAGAAATGCTTGCCAGGGGCAAACATCTTGGTGAACAAGTCACCTAAGTAAGTGGGATCCTGCAGGTTTTCACTGGTGCCAATATTTCCAATCAGGTAGAGAGCAAT